AAGACAGTAGATATACACATATATTTATTTCCAAAACCTTCTGGCTACCGCCATGTCTGCAGTAATCGGGACAAAAAGCCACTCCTTCCTCAGCAGCAGCATCCAGTTGAGACCAGGACCTCGAGCGGGCCCTGCTGGTATGGCTTAACCAGCTGTCCCATCAGTGTGGGAATGGCAACAAAATGCCGGTGGTTCTTGAGGTGCAGCTGCTCATTGATACCCAGCACCGTGCCTTCAACTGGCCCTGCTGGCTCTCTCTATCCACCTGCCATGTAACAACGGCGGATGGGGACCAAAAGAGGGCATGCCACGTAAGCAGCAGCTGCTCTTTGATACCCATCACCGTGCCTTCAATTGGCTCTGCTGACTTGGTGTACCTACCTGCCACGTAACTACTGAGGATGGGGAAGAAATGACGGCATCCCATGAGCAGCAGCTGTGCATTAATGCCCCGTGCTGTGCCTCCAACTGGCCCTTCTGGCCAGCTGAGGCTTTCTGAACACCTCAGATGGATCCAGCACAGGGTCAGCAAGGTTGTCACTCCAAAGGACCCAGATCAGCAGTCCCCCGGCCCCAAGCAGAAAGTCTTCAGCTTGCACCCCACCCTGGGCCACCTCTGGGACAGTCTTGCCCAAAGATATGTAACCTGGATCCTCATGGATGTCTTGAAGCACACTGGCATCCTGAGCCTGCAGAGCATTGCCCCTGGCCTCTGGAGAAGAGGAAGACGACTATGGGGACAGATGAGCTACTGAGATGCATCAGATGCACTGAGGTGCTGGGAGCCCTGCAGGGGCTTGCTCTGTAGGGCAATGCTCTGCAAAATGAGTCTCCATCCCTTTCAGTGTGCCCACGTTCTGTCACTTCCGGGAAATGGGAGCAACAGCCTCAGCCTCCATAAGAACAGAGCATCGGGGAAAGGATGACATCAATGTTTCTGACTTGCTCCGACACATATAGGCTGAAATAGACTCAATGGAGAGGCACCTGAGGACCATCCTGTCCCACCGGGAAGCGTGCAGGAGCCAGCAGGAGAGGAAGGCAGTATAAGTCAGTGGTGCCCATGCCCTGCTGGGTTCACCTTTGGCCTCAGGAGCACCAAGACCAATGTGTGATTAGGACCGTCAATGCAGAAAGGGGCAGGTGGAGCAGTGAAGAGGGAGAGTGATTCCATGAAGCACTTTTGTCCATTTGACAGCCTTTTCTGACGTCAGGGTAACAGCCACCAGTGATGAGGCAGGATGCACCTCAGCCCCCCAGAGGTTCTTGCGCTGAAGACACCTTGATGACTACAGTGTCTTCTACTGCCATCAGCGCCCACTCGCATCCTAAAGGACCAGACTCTGCTCTGTTTCACCAAGCGTTCAGCAACAACGCGCACATGCAGCAGCGGCGCCCAAGTGACGTGGAGAAACTCGCAGTGGCAGCAGCCTTGCTCTCCCTAGAAAGCCGGGACCAGCCTGTAATAATATGCTGGCGTGAGCTGCTAGTTCCAAGGTTTTTGGAGATCTGTCTCTCCGCATTTCAGACAGCATACGTATACCTGCAGTGTACACACAAATATAAACAGATTTCCTTTATGTCATTCTGGTGCCTAGAACAACAGGGTATTTTCTTCTTCTGAATGATGCATCGGTGTTGAAAAACAAACTGTTAAGCAACTGAGCTTTAAGCTGAGTTGTCCTTTCCGTGGTCCGAGTATTAACTCAAATTCGGGAAAGATACGTGGTAATATAAACTGGCAGGAAGAAGAATGCATGGAAATACATTTTTTCTTTATCTGGGTTCTGTGGATACCAGACTTTCCATCTCCATATTTTCAGATCTGGCTGCACCTATGACACTTACCTGGTACAAACTCAAACGGCAGAGTGCACAGCCAGGGCTGGCACTGAGAACCACAATGAAGAGCCTCACAGAAGAACGACGCTTTGAGGAGTAATCATTCTGCACAGAGAGAGAGAGGGGCCCTACAAACAAAAAGGCACGCAGTGGTGTTAAATACATGCCACAATCCCCGATCTACATCAGTCATCGCGCTACTCCTGGTCTGTGGGATAAAGCTGGGTCTGTGTGGGGGATAATATACACAGTCTCGTTCTAAATAAACATATGGTCTATGTCTGATCAAGTTCATACGCTTATGAACCAGGAGGTTTTAGCATGGGCTGAATTTTGTGAGCAGGAATAATTCAGAGGCTACGTACCGTCCTCCATTCACAAACCCCAGCTCTGGAATACCACTGAAGGCTCAGAGAGTAGGTAACATCTCATCTCATTCCTAGAGGAATTCTCTGAGCTCAGACTCTCTGCCTTCACGAGATCCTAATCTAAACAGGCCCACCAGGGCACACGGGCGTAGGAATGGAATGTTGTTTCTGCGTTAGATATTAAAAAGGGGGAAGATCTGATCTGAAGAAGTAGAGCAAAATACGTTTGTATTTTGTAACTTGTCCTTAGAAATAGCTGATGTGAAAAAGTAGGAATAGCATATATGTTAGTAACACACCTTAGAAATACCGTTGCTGAATTGTGTGATTACTTCTTGCTCGTAAACTGTAGTAGTTTCTAAATGTTCCAAACAGTATAGGTATAGTATTATGGACTAGAAAGCATATTGTGGGGCTGTTCTGCTTGGATAAGAGACCCTCAGCAAAAGAAAAACAGACTTCACAAACATCAAAGAAGCCAGGGCCTCCACACAAGGCTGAATTGCCTTGCTCTGTGGGTAGGCTGGGATGCAACCCAGGCAGGCATCAAGATACTCTGCCCTATCCTCCTTCCAAGCTTATCTCCATGCAAGGACGAGCAGATGTCCAGAAACAATGACTGAATGTTGAATGAGCAAATGTGAAAAGTTAACTCATTAGCGAGATTTGCTTAGCGAGCAAAAATTTATGGTTCGCCAGTATCTGTGTGTTTAGTTGAGCGTCAGGAAGATTGTGAACCTGAAGTACTGAGCCAATGAGGAGCCAGGGGAGAAAGAGAGAAGCGTCGAGTAATAGGGCATAAACGATGTAAGGCTGTTTTCTGCATGCTCTCCTGCGTGCAGGAGGCCCGCCACTGCAATCGCAAATAAAATCTGCTTGGTCAGAGATACCGGCCTGATAAACTGTTTGGATATTTCCAACAATTTGGGGGCTCGTCCGGGATCATTATCGCCTCCTTTGCTGCCCTGGACAGGATAGGTGCACCCCGCTGATTTTAGCGGTCCTGTCTAGGTGGTGAGGAGATTCCTTGGGATGGCCTCTAGGGTTAGGGTTAGGGATAGGAAACCGAGACTGTTACGCAAAGACAGGCTCTGTGAAAGCCAAGGGGCAGGTAGGCACGGTATCGACCCCTGCAGACCCGGTAACTTCATGCACGGACCAAGGTAAGGGAATTTGATTCTTGCCTTGGGGGTCGGGGGGACTCGGGTGAGTCTCAGGAGGGAGCTGGTGGTGTGCGGTACCCTGGACGCTTGACAAAGTGCCAGCAGTACACCCCTATTGAATCCGGGAATCGGAGCAAGGTGCTCCGGAGGGATCGGCCCTAAATCCGAGAATCAGAGAGTGGTAACCTGTGAGCTGGGGAGTTCACAGCAGCGTTCTGGAGGAATGGGGAATAGGAGCTCCCATAGAACAGAGGAAAAGGGTCCCCAAGTTCATGCCTAGAGATAGCCCCTTGGGAAAGAGGCTTCAGAAATGGGAAATAATCCCAAAAGTAGGGAAAAGATGTTTAAATACTGTATACAGACATAGCCTAGAGAGCCACTACAGGCAAAATCATTATTTTGACCAAAATAGGGGACTGACAAAGGTTGGGCCTGTCAGACCTTCAATTTATATGTAAACAGTAAGAGTCCTTTTTCTGAAACAGAATTGGCTTCTGTCACTTAATGGGTGCAAAAAGAAGAAAAAACTTCCTCACAAGAAGGAGACGAAGTTCAAAAGAAAAAGGAAAGACGAGTAGAAAAATCATAAACGGGATCCCTTAGATAACTTTCCTCCCCCTTCAATTCGTAAAGCAACGCAAGCGGCAGTGACCTCTCCAGAGAAGGGGAGTGGCCGTGCTGCTGAATCTGTGCAGGGCCCTGGAGAGAGGATGCGCTCTCGATTACGGAGGGCATGGGAGCAATGTGGATGGGACCTGGAGAGTTTTTCCTTTCTCTAACACTAACCTGACTAATACTTCACTTTATCCACTCAGGGCAGTCTCCTTAGGTCAAAGGGAAAT